TCTAATGAACAGCAGCTGCTGAAGAGGAAAATGGATCTTTGTCGGCGGTGTGTTAAGGATCAAACGTCTGGTTGTAAACTGGGCTGGGGGGTTTCTTATCGATCCCTGGGCATTTGCTTGGGGAAGATGTAGAATTGCCTAGAATGAGGCATGTCCAACCTTGGCGACTTGAAGACTTGTGGACTTCCAACTCTCAAAATCCCCCAGCCAGCCAACATGGTCAAATCCACCCTGATGTGTGGTTTAAAAATAATTATTTAAGGCTGTGTAACGGGAACCCAGTCAATGGTGAGCAAGCATTCAGCAAGACACAAATGTGGGAACTATGATTTGGAGCAGCAAGAGAAGCTAAGTAGTGGCTGGATTCACACAACATTGCTAAAGTAAAATCCTTGATGCTCTCTGAGCTTGGTGTGTTTTCTTGCAGACATTTCGCTACCGAACTATGTAACATTATCAGTGCTAGAAGGGAGTCAGGTTTGTGGAGAGGGAGGAGGAGGAGTACAATTATGACTTATGGAAACTTTGGTACTCTCTGAGCTTGGTGGTTTTCTTGCACACATTTCGCTGCCAAACTAAGTAACATCATCAGTGCTAGAAGGGAGTTGGGTTTATGGAGAGGGAAGAGGAGGAGGACTATGGAGACTTTGGTGCTCTCTGAGCTTGGTGGTTTTCTTGCAGACATTTCACTACCAAACTAGGTAACATCATCAGTGCTAGAAGGGAGTGGAGTTAGCTCTTATTTTTATATACACTGCTCAAAAAAATAAAGGGAACACAAAAATAAGACATCCTAGATCTGAATGAATGAAATATTCTTATTAAATACTTCGTTCATTACATAGTTGAACAAAATCACACAAAAATTATCAATGGAAATCAAATTTAGCAGCCCATGGAGGTCTGGATTTGGAGTGACACTCAAAATTAAAGTGAAAAAAAACACGACAGGCTGATTCAACTTTGATGTAATGTCCTTAAAACAAGTCAAAATGAGGCTCAGTAGTGTGTGTGGCCTCCACGTGCCTGTATGACCTCCCTACAATGCCTGGGCATGCTCCTGATGAGGTGGTGGATGGTCTCCTGAGCGATCTCCTCGCACACCTGGACTAAAGCATCCCCCAACTCCTGGACAGTCTGTGGTGCAACGTGGCATTGGTGGATGGAGCGAGACATGATGTCCCAGATGTGCTCAATTGGATTCAGGTCTGGGGAACGGGCGGGCCAGTCCATAGCATCAATGCCTTCGTCTTGCAGGAACTGCTGACACACTCCAGCCACATGAGGTCTAGCATTGTCATGCATTAGGAGGAACCCAGGGCCAACCGCATCAGCATATGGTCTCACAAGGGGTCTAAGGATCTCATTTTGGTACCTAATGGCAGTCAGGCTACCTCTGGTGAGCACATGGAGGGCTGTGCGGCTCCCTAAAGAAATGCCACCCCACACCATTACTGACCCACTGCCAAACCGGTCATGCTGGAGGATGTTGCAGGCAGCAGAACGTTCTCCACGGCGTCTCCAGACCCTGTCACGTCTGTCACATGTGCTCAGTGTGAACCTGCTTTCCTCTGTGAAGAGCACAGGGCGTCAGTGGCGAATTTGCCAACCTTGGTGTTCTCTAACAAATGCCAAATGTCCTGAACGATGTTGGGCTGTAAGCACAACCCCCACCTGTGGATGTTGGGCCCTCATACCACCCTCATGGAGTCTGTTTCTGACTGTTTGAGCAGCCACATGCACATTTGTGGCCCGCTGGAGGTCATTTTGCAGGGCTCTGGCAGGGCTCCTCCTGTCCCTCCTTGCACAAAGGCAGAGGTAGCGGTCCTGATGCTGGGTTGTTGCCCTCCTACGGCCTCCTCCACGTCTCTTGATGTACTGGCCTGTCTCCTGGTAGCGCCTCCATGCTCTGGACACTATGCTGACAGACACAGCAAACCTTCTTGACACAGCTTGCATTGATGTGTCATCCTGGATGAGCTGCACTACCTGAGCCACTTGTGTGGGTTGTAGACTCTGTTTCATGCTACCACTAGAGTGAAAGCACCGCCAGCATTCAAAAGTGACCAAACCATCAGCTAGAAAGCATAGGAACTGAGAAGCGGTCTGTGGCCACCACCTGCAGAACCACTCCTTTATTGGGGATGTCTTGCTAACTGCCTCTGCTTTCCACCTGTTGTCTCTTCCATTTGCACAACAGTGTGTGAAATTGATTGTCAATCAGTGTTGCTACCTAAGTGGACAGTTTGATTTCATAGAACTGTGATTGTCTTGGAGTTACATTGTGTTGTTTAAGTGTTCCCTTTATATTTTTGAGCAGTGTACATTCATACGCACATACATTTATAGACATTCATAGCTTCTATTGGTACAATATGCTAAGTCCAAACTTGCTGCTGTTTATTGTGCTGTTTGAAATATCCAGAATGCTTAGCAAACCAGCATAATGCAATCCTGTAAACCTTGGTCAGTAGCGGGTTAGCACCATGGGCTTGCACCAACCATTACAACAGGCAGACTCTTGTTAGACTTGTTAGACAAGGTATGTTCCACCTGTGTGATAAACCTCCCGAGAAGCAGCAGCCTTGCATTTGAACACCCTGCCTTTGTTTCCTCGACAGGACTGCGAAGGCTTTGAGAAATGCTGCACCAACGTTTGCGGCTTGCGGAGTTGCGTGGCTGCCCGTTACGCCGATGGAAGCCTCTCTTCCTTGGAACAGGTGCAGGAAGCCACCTGCGAGAGCTTTGTCTGTACCCAGCAGGGCTCGGACTGTGATATTTGGGATGGGCAACCAGTCTGCAAGTGCAAGGACAGGTGTGAGAAGGAACCCAACTTCACCTGCGCCTCTGATGGACTCACCTACTACAACAAGTGCTACATGGATGCCGAGGCCTGTATCCGGGGCATCAGCCTGGCAGTGGTGCCATGCAAGTATATCTTTACCTGGCCCAATACTAGCCCGGTGCCGGTGGAGACCACCACTCACCCCACCCCTGGGGCCTCTCCGGAGCTGCCTATCCCTCCGGCTCTCTACAACAACCCTTTCCACCAGCTTGTCTACGTGGGGGGCACCGTGAGCTTCCACTGTGATGTGAGCGGGCGTCCCCGTCCTGACATCACCTGGGAGAAGCAAAGCGACCATCAGGAGAACTTCATCATGCGGCCCGATCAGATGTATGGCAACATGGTGGTGACCAACATTGGGCAGTTGGTCATCTACAATGCTCAGCCAGAAGATGCTGGAATCTACACGTGTACTGCCAGGAATTCTGCCGGTCTCCTGCGAGCAGACTTCCCACTCTCGGTGGTCAAGAAAGAACATGCCAGAGGAGAACCGAGAGCTTCCAGCACGGTGAAACTCCCGCCCGAAGAATGCTTGCGGGAACCCGATACCCAGGACTGTGAGGCCTACCAAACCCGTTGGTATTTTGACTCCAAAAAGGGCTCCTGTGTGACTTTCCGTTACGGTGGCTGCGGAGCAAACCAGAACCGCTTCAACACTTACGAGGAGTGTCAACTGGCTTGCGTCAGCAGCACGGTCAACCTGTGTACCCTCCCCATGGTGCAAGGACCCTGTAAGAACTGGGAACCTCGCTGGGCCTACAACCACCTGATGAAGCAGTGCCATTCCTTCATCTACGGCGGTTGCGAGGGCAACGAGAACAACTTCGACAGCAAGGAGAGCTGCGAGGACACCTGTCCCTTCCCCAAGACCTTGCTGTGCAAAGCATGTCGCCTGAAAAGCAAGATGGTGTTGAGCCTTTGCCGCAGCGATTTCGCCATCGTGGGGCGGCTGATGGAGATCATCGAGGATCAAGATTCCGGGATCGCCCGTTTTGCGCTGGACGACGTCCTCAAGGATGAGAAGATGGGCCTCAAGTTCTTCGACATCAAGTACCTGGAAGTCACCTTGACCGACATGGACTGGAACTGCCCCTGTCCCAACATGACCATGGAGGATGGGCCTCTCATCATCATGGGAGAAGTTCACGACGGCATGGCTGTCCTTGACCCTAACAGCTATGTCCGGACTGCCAACGACAAGCGGGTCAAGAAGATTTATGAGCTTCTGGAGAAGAAGACCTGCGAGTTGTTCAACCGGTTTCAGGACTAAGGTGGGCTTGAGGGGAGGGAAAGTAGAACAGGCAAGAGAAACGCCGCCCCCCTCTTCAAAGGCAGAGCCATCCTTACGGTTGTCATAGAAACGAAGGACGGGTGGGAAGATGAACCGATGACCTGGTGCCCTTTTCCATCCACAGAGGGGCTGTTGTAGTAGGCTTGTTAAGTGACCTGGTTTAATGTGCTGGGTGAAAACAGTTGATGAAGGGTAATCTACATTTCCCATCTTCAGTCCAGGCCAGCTCTATTTATTTTTAAAAATACGTGTTTTTTTTCTGTCACAATCTGAACTCTACTATGAGGAGGGCTGGCCAGTGCTTGTATCAGTCTACCGTCTGATTTTGTGTGAGCTGTAACTTAACTGCAACCACTAGGTCCCACTGCTGTACACCCTTCTCAGCTGCTCCAATCTTTGTGAAATGAAGATTAATTAAACCAACAAACCAGGTTTCTTCTCAATTTTACAGTGGAGGTCAAATGGACGCTCTTTTAAAAAATCCTTTCAGGGTGGCAAATTCTTTCCTTAGACAAATTATCACTGTTCTTGAGGACTAGTTTCCTAGCCCTTCCTAGGAGGGCAATTGCCAATTTCTGGGGATAAAAAAATATCATAAATCATGGTCATTTGACTCTAAGGTGCTGCAAATGGCCCTAACGAGCACTGGTTGCTAAGCACCTATAATATTGTCATATACTGCAAGATTGTGTGTGTGTGTGTGTGTGTGTTTGTGTGTGGCCACTGGAACTTCAGAACCAGGTCATAAGTAACTTTTTTTTTGGGGGGGGGTCCTATCATAATAGTTGCTAAGTGACAGATTTTAAGTTGAGGACTATGTAAATTGAGTGGGTGTGTGGAAGTGTTTTATTTCACATTTTGGAAGCTGTTTTACGGTTTCCCTACAGCCCTAGAGTTCTTTGAAGGCCCATCCAAGTTGCAACCAGGACAGACCCTGCTTAGCTTTTGAGCCCAGACAAACGTGATCGAATACTGCCCCCTGGTGACGCACTATCAGATTTACCTTTCCAAATGGCTCCACTGTAGATAGTGAACTGGATAACAACCAAGGGATATTCGTGTAGGAATGCCAAAACGTTATATTTATTTGCACCCAAATGCAACACAGATGATGTAAGCTGACATTACCTTGATTTTTAGCCGAGGCTATTTTTTGAGGGTTATCACACATCACCCAAATAATTAAAGAAACATGGATATGCCACACATCACCACTAGAGGGAGAGAGTATTCTACATGCAAATTAGAGAGTCGTGGATTTTCCCTTCCGCTGAAATAAACGGCAAACATTTTAGTAACTTAGGAGGAAAAATTACGTTCCAGACTTCTTAAAGCCAGAGCATGTAACTTCAGCCACTTTTAATATTTGTGGACTTCAGCTCTCCGAATTCTGTTGGCTGGAGAATTCTGGGAGTTGAAATCCACAAGTTGCCCTGTCTTAAGGCATTCTTCCCAAATTGCCACTCCGAAGCCTCTACTCATAACCTTTCTCCAAAGCCACAACCTCATCACAACCAGCAAAATCGCTCAGTCCACCTCCCAATCCCAGCCGTCGTGTATTAACCAGGATTTGCGGCTCACCATGCTGCCCAAATCAAAACCCGCAGACCTTTTTAAAGCATCCTGAATTTGAAATACCAGGATTTCAAACTTTGGTTACAATGTGCAGTGTTCCGAATCCACCAAGCAGGGTTTGTTATGGAGGACTACCAAACTACCATGCAGCTGGTTAACCAGAGGTTTAATTAGGGAGACGGTCTGGTTAACTGAGTTTAATGTACCCTGATATGTTTACATACCCTGTTTCTGAGCTGGAGGGGTGCCTCTAAATTTGTGATGCGAGTGCCATAACCCAGGAGCCAAAACTGATTCTAAAGCATTAATACCCAAGGCAGATAAGTGCATGACCACACTGGCCAAGCCATTGCATGAACAACAGTGGTCCTCCAACTCTCCTTTGTCCAAGGATGCAAGCATCTAGCCCCCAACTCCAAAGAGCCATTAGCATACTCTCTGTCCACCAGAGAAAGTCAAGAGCAACCATCTCTGTTGGACCACAATTCTTGCAGAAAGTTTTTTTTCTCCCCCAGTTATGAATTGATGATGGCACTTGGTCCCAATACCCCATAAGCACTTCCTCGTGGATGTGTCAAGAAGCAGAGCTCAGCAGAAGAAATCCTGCCAAGGGAGAAGACTTCCGTAGAATTTCAAAGTGGTCCATGAAGTTCCTTCGTGGAGACAGCAGTCCAGCGACTTAGTGTTTGCGGAAAATGAGGCACTTGTTATTTGCCGGCATGTCGACCTGGAAGCAGAAACTCTTGTGGTTATTCTAGGCAATAAAATTGCAATTGATGCCAGGCTTTAAGAGAACCCCTCTTAGGAACCAGGAGGCATTGGGCACCCAGAGATCAGCAGAAGGAGCTGGAGTCCAAAGAATTTAGCTGGACAAAGGATTGGTCAGCGTATAAGAGAGAAGCTCAGCTTATTTTTAGGCAAAAGTTAACAAATTGGAAGAGGCTGTTGCCCGGTGAAATTGCAGGTAGAAATTAGGCTGCACAGGGGTGTCATTCAGGCAGGGATTTTTTTTTTGCAGGGGTTGATCAAAATAACCAAGGGGCATCTTGACTTTGGGATATTCCCCTGTCCAGATGAAAACTAATATTGTAAAACTAGCACTAAAACTGTAAAACTTGAGCTAAGACTAAAACTAAAAGCGTAAAGCTAACATGATAAAACTGAAGCAAAGCAAAAAAAAAAAAACTGTAAATCTGAAGCAAAATTAAAACCAAAGCAAAACTAAAACTTAAAACAGGAAAGCTGAAACTGGAACTAAAACTGCAGCCCAAGTTAAAAGTGTCCCTTTTCCAGTTTTAAACAGAACGGGATACTTTTCTCCATTCAGCCTACCATGTTTTCCAACCGCATCCCGTTGGCTTCAGCAAGCTGTTGCAGGACAGCCACGTCCCTGAGTCCCCAAGATGGATTGCTGGTAGAGAGAGGGAGGGAGGGAGGGAAAGAAAAAGAGAAGGGGAAGGAAGGAAGGAAGGAAGGAAGGAAGGAAGGAAGGAAGGAAAGGAAGGAAGGAAGGAAGGAGGAGAAGAAGGAAGGAAAACGGAAAGGAGGGAAAAGAGGAGTGGAAGGAAGGAAGGAGAATGGAGAGGAGAAAGTGGAGAAAAGGGAGAAGAAGGAAGCAGAGGAAGAAGGAAAATAGAGAGGAGAAAGAGGAGAAGAAAGAAGCAAAGGAAGGAAGGAATATGGAAAAAGAAGAAGGAGAAGAAGGAAGGAAGGAAAATGGAAAGAG